GACCATTACCTGCTTTCGAAATTATTTGAGCTTTTCAAATCTGGAATATGTAAAATCAATAAGATATAACTCGTATGCCATTTTCCTAAAATGGCTACACATTTTTCCACAATCTGGCCAAGGCTTATTAGATTTGTGTTATTCAAAAAAATATTGTTGGTTTCAATATGTTCGTTTTCTGATCTTATGCCAACAATAACCACTGACCTATTTTTATAGACTTTGAAAACAAAATATGTAAATCTAATAACTAATAACCTCATGGTATTTACCTCCATAGAGTTTTATGTATTCACAGTTGATATTTTATAATATAATTATTTCTTCCTTGATACTAAAACTTGATTGTACTATTTCTAGTTTTCGGTAATAAATTTGTGGAGCATTAAAAATACAGCTTAACAATTAGAAATATTGTAATTAAAGTTTTCTTATTCTGTCATCTTATTCACCATAAATCTTGCAGGTTTCGTTACCAAGATGTCTTTTTCTTATTTTCAGTTATTAGATCATAGAATAGAAAATGTATAATTAATAGGTTATGGGACCTTAATAAGGTTGCCAATCATGTACAATTTAATTAGATTAAAATAGGATATGCAGGTTAAAAGTTTTGAGGAGCTTCAATGGCAGCTTCAATGGCAGGTTAGAAAAGCTTCAATGGTATCACTTTTGAGAACTCTAAATTATATGGAATAATATATTTTTCATTTTTCAAATACTATGCATAAACCGTGGATTCAAATAATTCTTCTGTTCTGAGTGCTTGTTGTGGAATTCGTCTTTCCCAATCATTGTTAGAATGTATATTACCTGCAAAAAAATAACGAATTACTAATTAACATATCTGAATTTACAAAGACATCTTATAAGGCTTACACATCCCTGTGATGGAATATCTATAGAGTGTTAGCTGATGATGCATATGTATGTCATCTCCATCGACATTAGTAAATGCATATGTATGCACATGAAATATCTGCATCTGAATATATTAAAAGAGTTGTAATAGGGCAACCTCAATGGCCCTTTCAAGGTTTAACTCTCCCTCTCTATGCAATTGCTTTGATGTGTAATGCTCTTGAATCCCGGTTGTATTTATACTTCAATCGGCAGTGTGCCTTTTATACTATCTTCTGTTAACCAATGGTTAATAGTATGTACTGTCCGTTTTTTTGATGACATAATGTGTGAATAGACAACTCACTACAGAGTCATATCAACCATATATTAAATTTAAATTTAAATTATATTTAGATCTGTAAAATCGTACTACCAGATCTTCAAAATTGATTTGTTTGTTTACATGCCAGCTCAATACTTCTTATTCAAAGAGCAATTCATTGGTCCGTTGTGCAAAGCAGTCCCATCAATTGTACAGGCCGAAAAAGTTACAGCTCAATACACGCCACATTTATTTTCTTGAGCCACCCAACCTTTTTCTTGAGCCACCCAACCTTTTTCTTGAGCCACACAATCTCAACCATTTTTTATTACAATTGCAGCACTCCATTCAACATTATTTCATTGAGCCTTTTCTTGAGCTACTAAAACTGCATTGGTGACTGGGCCAGCATTTAAAATCACTGAGCAGCAAAATACAGATGCAGCATGACCCGTTTTTGAACCCATTTTAACAGGCCCGGCCCATTACTGCACAGTGTTTGGGCGGGAACACTGTGCAGTCTTTATTTTGCTTTTGTATAATAAAAGATGTAAACAAATGTGTTCAACTTCTAAAACTCTTCTACACACCTACCTATTCATTTTTACGCAAGAGGGCGGAAGTTGTTCTTCACATTTTAATAGCACTTTTCATTTCTTATTTTTGTACCTCACTCTTCGTATTTTCACTCCTATCAGACGATTACTCTTCATATTTTACTTTTCATACTATATACATTATTGTTGTTCTTTGTTTGAAAAAAATGATAGCATTATACCATTATGTATCACTTTAATCGACATCAACAATTTTCAGACCTGAAAGGTAAATTTATATTCAAAACTTAGTTTGGTTCTTTACAGCTAAGCCATGAGGGACTTTGAAATGACATTTGTTTGGTATGGTGTTTGTGGAGGTGAAAATTTCAGAAATATTGTGGTGTAATGTTTCATTTACAGAAATATATCCTGCATCAGATTGCCTATTCCCGATTCTCGATAACCTCATAGGTTGCCAATTACGTCGGTCAAAATTCACATTGCGTGCATCGCACAAGTTTTCAAATTATTTATAGAATACACTTAGTTTTTGTTTATAATTGACCGGTTATGACATGTTATAACCAATCATAGACCATTATTGGTGAACCGTTATATAGTTGGATTAATATAAAAATAATAAACAATTGAAATTATAGTTAGCGGACCGAATTTGTCACGCCCCGGACTTACCGGACACGTCAACAACCCGCCATACAGTACGAATAGTCAACCGCAGTCCAACTCATCCATATTATACTAGGCGTCTTGAATACCATTCACACATAGTACATCCATAAACAAACATAATGTAAAAATATTCATTTAAAGCAGCGGAAACATTTAATACAAGTGTTTATGCCACACTTTGGCAAACATGGACATACAAGCCCCCAAACAATTATTCGAAAATAATATCCATGAGCAATAATTTAAATGTTTTTAAAACAAAGGCGGGGGAAGCACGAACCACGTCTTCCTTCCTTGATTTTCCCGAAGCAACGGGCACTGGTAGCAAGCTCAACTCCTACCTGAAACTGTGAGGTGCCCCCCCCCCCCCCCCCCGTGAAGGGGAGGTCAGTACTTGGAAGCATTTGACAAGTACAATGACAACTATACTAAGTATAATCAATGTTTCAATTTCTAAGACCCTCAAATAGAGTGATATCATAATATAATGATAATTCTTCTTTAACCCTTGTTATCTTCGTAATAAGTTAATTAATTAATTTGTCGGCACGCGGCCCCTTTTTATATGTCATTATACCCGTCGTTAGCACGACACCGCCCGTAGGTCTTATCATCTTTTACGAGACTTGTCACCGCTATCCGAGGCCTCATCGGGCCCTCGGGCCGGAGTCCAACATCCCGCCCCTAGACTCATACCCATCATCCCGTAGGAATGTAAGATCCATTCGGGGTCCTATCTTAAGTATTACCGCTGTCGGGAGCCTCGTAAGGTCTCCGGTTCGGATTCCACCCTAACCTGCGATCACGATGTAAGTCCATGCTATCCAACCCCGCTCTCTAGAGTCGGGAAGGACCATGGTCCTTACTATTTACCAATATTCAACCGGCTATCCTCAAAGACTACCGAAATACACTCATAGGCCAATCCTACATCTAGGATCAATTTATTATTCAATTTATCTTGGGTATCCCTTAAGGCCTACCCCTAGTATCACTTAAAGTTCATACTTATCCACCTTAGTATCTCTTAAGACTACTTAAGGTTCCACATTTCACAATCCAACCTTTGGATCAATTATAACATATTCTCATTCCAATACCCCGACTAGTATCTTAATACTAGTCGGATAAATTCCAACAAAACCAATTTTTAGTTCATAGTCATGTGGACAAATTCCAAACTATTTTTCCATTGAAAATATAGTTAACATCAATATACAAAATATAACTTTTAATCACTCACATACTCTTATATGAAGTAAAAATTATATTTCAACATATAGTTTATAGTTAATTCCTTTATCAAGCCAACCTGCTCATAACACATAATCATACACAATTTATTCTTAAATTTGTTTATTATGCTCCTTTTCCTTATAGACAATAGTCTTCTCATTCATAGGCATTATTAATCATTAATAATCCACAAAAAACACATTTAATTACCTTAGGCAATCTCATGAAATTAATTCACTAATTATGAGCAATATAGTCACTCATCCTCACCTTATGAAGTGCTGAAATAGTTGCCTTTGTTAAGCCCTCCGATCAATCCCCGTTCTAAACCGATTGGAGATGAAAAATCTGGACAGCAAACGAAAGTCGGACGGCTTTTGCAAAAGGTGGACGGCTTTCGTGGTCTGCAGCTACGAACAGCTTCCTTTAAGTGGCGGTTTCCGGCGATTTCAACTCCTATCGATTCCACGACTCTTCTAAGTTAAATATCACCACTTTATAACATTATTCTACACTTTTAAACGTGTAGAACCTCATGTTTAACCCACCATATGATTCCTTAAAAATCATACCACACAAAACTAGTTAATGAATAATAGTCATGTTCTTACCTCAAGAACAACCCTTTCCTCCATGGATTTTCTTTTGTTGATGCTTCCTTCAAGCTTGGAACTTTGTGAGAGTCCTTCCCCGAGTTGTTTTCAGTCCCAGACCAAATCAGACCAGACCAGACCAGACTTCCGTAGTTATAAAATACACATAGACCAAACATTTATCAGACAAGATCAAACCAGACCAGCAAATTTCAGTCCAAAAGAAAACATTCATAATCAATAATCACGATTATAGTTAGCGAATCAACAATAATTTGTTATTATTTTCAATTTTAGTAATTAAACGAAATATGACTATTCAATCACTCATTCAAAATTGTCAAGCACCTCATGGTTTGATGACATCATTGTGACACTTCTAAGAAGGAAGTCACACATTCGAAATCCATCCCAATTAACAATGTTGACATTTAACAAGGAAGTATTGAACACATACTATAAAAGAGATTAAAATATCTAGCAAAAAAAATCACCCATTCCAACGAATTGCAGGATTCAATGCTAAAATTTGGTATGAATACACTAGACTTAATGAATAAAATGCTGAAAAAAATTCATAAAAAAATTCCACCGGAAAATGTCTCAAATGGCGACGGCCGTATTTGACCCCTTTTAAGCAATTTCGAGTGACCCTTACGGCCTTACCTCTATAAAGACTTTAGTTGAAAAAACAGGAAACGAGTGGGGCAGACCCATCTAGAAGTCACCTTAATTATCATTTACGACGCCTACTACTATTAGTTCTGCCTAGGAACCCCTGGCTTCACGCGCCTTTGTCCGTAGCACGGCCGCCATCCATTCTTTGTTCCCTTTATCCAAACCACTGCGTTCTCCACGCGCTTTCACAGTCATCTCCCATGCCCATCCCCGTGAACAGTAAACCACTGCCACCACTCTGCTGTGCTATTCTGCGCTTTGACTTGTCTTTCATGAACTATTGAACTGTACCCTCTTTCTGGGTGATGATAGCAGAATATGAAGTGGGTGAAGACGAAAGGGGAAGGGAAGGCGATGGTGTCCAAGAAGATGAAATGGGTCGGCCTTATCGGCCTTTTCGTCTCTGCTTTCTCTCTCGTTGCTCACTTCCTTCTTGCTAGGCACACCCATGGCGGCGGTCCAGTTTCAGAGTACCAGACATCTCTCACCTTCTTTTCATGGAGGCCCGTCTTTGACAATGCTGACCACCCCAAGACTGTAATTTCGCTCTTACCCTTTAAAGATCCGTTCTTTGGTTATGTAGTTTCCTTTAAAGTTAATCAAAGATCTGTTCTTTGGTGCTCTTGGGATTTTGTGTAGTTTCAGATACACTTACGTGTTACTTTGCGAATTGTTTTGTTTTATTTGGATTTATTAATCGTTTGGTAATTTCAGGAATTACTGAATTAGCAGGTAAAGTTTTTTCTAAAGTATGATTTCGAGTTTTTTTTGTAGATTCGAAAATATGGAAGACTATGGGGTCCAGTTAGGCGCCTTGAACCTTTACAGCCTCATGCGAATCCTGGATCCAATTATCCAGGTTAGATTAGACAAAACTCGAGAGGATGATAAGGATTTCAAGAAGTAAAAGGGGATATTTTATGCTTTTTAGACTTAATTTATTTTTTCTGTTGTAAAGTTACCTTCTTTTATTACTAACAGCTCCTGAACTGCAATCAACCGGGTTTATCTTTGTAAGGATCCGAGGAGGTTTCCATGAGATCAGGAATTCTGTAAGAATGTTATTTGTAGATCATTGTGGTTTACATTATCTGAATGTTATTGTGGCCTATTGTATCTCATTATTATTTCATCAACTATTTCTTTCCCAAAAAATCAGATATCTGATGTTGTTGCCGTTGCACGGCTTCTCAATGCTACTCTTGTCATTCCAGAGATTCAGTCAACTACAAGCAGCAAGGGAATCAGGTATCTTTAGGGTGTGTTTGTTTGGGGATTGCCAAGGGAAGTGGATTGGAGGATTGATGGTTATTTATTTAATTTATCTTCACTAATGAGTCTTAAATTTAAAAATAGGAATATTTTTAATTAAACAATCCATCAGTCTACATCTATGTAAGTTTTCATCTTCATTTTCTTTCAATAATCTAAATGAAGTATTAATTAATAAAATAAAATTTACTCCCCCCTCCCTCTCCTCCAATATTCCCCAATTAAACAAGGCCTATGTAAATTTTCATCTTCATTTTCCTTCAATAATGTAAATGAAGTATTTAATTAATTAAATAAAATTTACTCCTGCCCTTCCCTCTCCTCCAACATACATAAGAAAATCATAGGGGTCAAGGGAGGCCTAGAGAATGTTGTCACGTAGAGTAACTTATATTCGCTCTCACAAAGAGTGTTTTTTATTTGTTTTGGGAATTGCAGCTCAGAGTTCAAGAGTTTTGCTTATCTGTATAATGAGGATCAGTTCATGGCAGCTTTGGCAAAAGATGTGCAGATTGTGAAAACACTTCCCAAGAATCTGAAAGGAGCGAGGAGAAAGAAAGAGATTCCTTCATTTAGAGTGGCCCACTCTGCATCGCCATATTTTTACCTACATCATGTTCTCCCGGTGTTGACACGTCACTCTGTCGTTGAGCTTGTTGTTTCTGATGGTGGATGTTTGCAGGTGAACAAACAACCAACTAAATATTTTACCTGCATGTTGTTTACCTATTAGTTTTATATTTTTCTTCCTAAAGTCCAGTTTACTAATCATGTATATTCAATTAAAGTACTCCATGGAAGACACATGCGTGTGCTTATCTGTAATGGAAGTATCTACTTCTGGTTAGACCTGAAGACCCGTGTTTGATTGGAGGATTCCAGAGGGGATGGAAGGAGAGGGGAGGGGAGATATTTATATACTCTGTATTAGTTTAGTCTTAAATTCTTAATTGAGCTTGATAGGAAAACTGAGTGAAGATGGAAAATTGTATAGAAATATGTAGTATGTGATTAACTAAACTTGAATTATTTTCTAGCCCGTGTATGTTTAGGACTATCCATATGGTCCCTTCTTTTATGTCACTGGAAAAGCTAAATTAATACTACTATTTTATACGGAGTAACTTTTATAGATATAACAGTTTCCCATTTTTAATGGATTCATCCTAATTAGACCAAAATATCTAAAGTAAGTTCTGATGATTTAGAATGACATCTAGTTGTATAACAAATAGAGGTAGTTTAGTCAAACAAAAATCAACAATCCCATTCAAAAACCCAAACCAAACAAGCCTTACAAATTACAATAGCGTAAGATATATAATTTGTGTGGACTTGAGTCCAACGTATTGATGGATTGTTTTTGCTGAATATTACTCAGTCCACATTGCCACCACTTCTCATGGAATACCAAAAGCTAAGATGTAGGGTCGCTTTTCATGCCCTGAGATTCAGAGAAGAGGTTCAGGAACTTGCTATTAAAATTCTGAACAGGTAGTTTTTTACTTGATGACGATTTCCCTTCACATTAAGAGCCTTTTTGGTAAGGTTTAATTGGCTGAAATTGCTAAATCTACTGACATTTGTTGAAGGAAAAGTGTTTGGTAACAACCATTTCACCTGAGTAAGGATGTTTTCACTTGGACTGTTTTCAGTTTCAAACCAGGTTTGGACGGTTATAAAATACACAGAGACCAAAAATCTACTTGATCAGATCATACCAAAAAAATTCAGTCCAATTAATAACATCCTTATGATCTTTGGCTACCAAACAGAAAATTTCACTTATTCTGTTGATTAGCAGAATAAGCTAAAGATCTTTGGCTACCAAACAGAGCTTAACACACACCAGTTGTCTTACTTCTCAAGTAACATTTCAGATTAAGAGCTTCAGGACGACCATTTCTAGCATATGATCCCGGGATGACCAGAGACGCTTTGGCATATTACGGTTGTGCAGAGCTTTTTCAGGACGTGCACACCGAGCTTATCCTGCACAGAAGATCATGGATGATCAAACACAGAATAGTGAAGGGAAATCTATCTGTTGATTCTGCTAAACAACGCCTTAATGGCTTGTGTCCTCTTATGCCCGAAGAGGTATACTTATGCATCATCACCTCGTGTCATTTTTTTGTCGAACACTTACCTTTGTTATTTCGGAGTGTGGGCATTGCTAAAATTTACTAGAGCATACTCCCTCCGTATTTTAAAGTTTGCTACACTTTCCTTTTTTGGATGTATTTAAAAGTTTGCTACACTTTCCCGCTTTGGCAAGTTTTTTCTTTAAAAATACTCAATTACCCTTACCTTTTCTACTTTTTATCTTCTCTTTCATATTTTTCCACCTCCTCTCCTACTTTTTCCACACTATTCATTGCCCCTACTATTTTACCCTTAAATCTTGTGCCCAAACCTATTGTAGAGAACATTGAAATACGGAAGGAGTATTAAATTGTGCTTTACTCACACTGAAAAGATAGGCTGAGGTTTACTCCATACTTAAACATTAGACATAAATGTCTACTGCTGGACACCTCAATATACTACCTCTGTCCCCTGGCACAAAGAACAATTTGAGGAAAGGATAAATTGGTCAAATCAGCCTCAAATGGTCCTCCCTAAATTATAGAGACAAACAAACAAAGAAAACAGAATTGAACTAGACTATGATACCATATCAAGTTAGGCCTCAATTAACCCGAGAAGATCCGATTTCAGATATTTCATAGAAGACATATGGGGTCTAAGGCGTCATTTGGGATGATTCAGAATCAAATTACTGGGAATTCGGTAAATTCACATTAGAAATGACAGGAATTCACCCAAGCCATGGGAATGAGGCAAATCTCGTGGTATAAGTAAAGGCTGTGATTCCTTCAGTTTCGTGGATTGGGGGTTCGGAGTTATCTCCGGATCTCCCAATCCCAACTTTTTCCGTTTTCAAACATGGGTTTGACACCCAACTCCCTCAACCCATGAATTAGAAGTCATTCTCAATCATGTTTAATTCTTTTGTACGCAAGGACGGATTTGGGAGGGGGGGGAGACGACCACCCCCCTTGGGACCTAAAATATTTATATTATACTAGTATATAATATTTCATGAAAATTTCATGCTTTTATTAAATACAAACATGTTTGCCCCCTCATCTTCTAGTTTTTAAAATTAATTTTTACAATTTTATACGTAATATAATACTTTATAGGAGCTGGACTGTTTTAAGGAGAAAAAACTAATGATTGTTTACTACTCCGTATTTCTATATTATTTCATGAATATCAAATGTATTGATTTATTAATTTGAAAAATATATAAATCTGGGATTTGGGATACTGAACCTGTAAAAAGAGAATGCTATATCTTACGGAGTATAAAATTTATCTTTGATAGATAAGAAGTTATAGTGAGTTTGTAAAGTATCAAGCAGTAATGAAAAAATACCGTAGAGATTAGTTCAAAAGTTTTCTGACAAAGTTCAAGTGAATTCAAATATAAAAGCTTTTGTGGTATTGCATATTAAACTTGAGGCCCAAATAATTTAATATCCGACTTTTTTAAAGACCCTATTGGATAAGAAAAACCTTTAAATATTTTAACAGTAGTATATTTTATATATTCACATATCACATAAAATAATAATATTGCATATTTAAAATAATAATAAAAATAGTGTTGTATGTACTATTGTAAAAAAGCTTTTGTGGTATTGCCTACAAATAAACAAATTAAACACAAGAAATGTAATTTAAGAATGACTATTCTTTCTAACAAGATTCATGTAGCTAAAAAGAGAAACATTAGTTAAATATATAACATAGGCGGATTAGACGCTTTATAATGAAATAGATTGCTAACTTTCTAACTAATTTTGATAAAAGAGATAGTATTAGTTTTGATCTACCAGTGCCACTTTTTAGAATGCTTTTATTAAGAAAATGAAGTTATGTATATATAGAGCTGCAATAATGGAAAAAATTTCACCACTGTCACGGTCTAGAACTCTAGATGGTGTCTTAGGGCAGTGGCAAGATTGATTTTAATGCTTGCCTTACAATGCAGTCTACATAGGCTTCAATGTTTCAAATTTTATGGCTTAGTCATGCGTCTCATGACATTAGAATATTATGTTTTCACATAGTAATTAGGATGCAAATTCTTCTAAAACAGATAGGAATTCTTCTTCGGGCATATGGTTATAGATCAGACACTATTATTTACATATCTGGTGGAGAGATCTTTGGTGGCCGGAAGAAATTAATTCCCCTCCATGCTATGTTCGAGAATGTCGTTGACAGAACATCCTTAAGCACTCCATGGGAGCTATCTGAAGTGTATGGTCGTGAGACTAAATATTCTTCAAAAGCTCGTTTGGCAACAAAGGAAGAACGAAAATTTATTGACTGGAAAACATCTGGTCCGCGCCCTCGCCCTCTCCCGCCTCCGCCAGCTCGGCCCAAATATCCATATAACATTGAAGGGTGGTGGGGTTGGGTGGCTGAGATCGATAATGAGCCAGAGAGCAGTGTTGAGGAATTCAGGACTAATGCCCACAAGCTATTATGGGAAGCTGTGGATTACATCATCTGTCTTGAAGCTGATGCATTCATTGCTGGATTTGATCGGGATGGTAAAGGACACCCCAATCTTGCTAGTCTAGTGATGGGGCATAGGCTGTACCAGTTTGCTCCTGCTAGAACATACAGACCCAACAGGTAATTATTTTTCCCTTGCAGATTCATTTTTTACTCTCTAGGCTTTCAGCTTCTGCGTTTGGCCGTCAAGTTTCGTTTTAACTGCCTCCATCCCAAAACTTAAGATACATTTGTGTTTCTCAATAATTTTACGAAAATAAAGAGATAGTTGTTATTCCTTTATAACCTTTAACTGGAAGAAAGTAGGAGTGTAGAAATGACATTTAAAGGATAGATGGATGTAGTGTAAAAATAAATAAGTTACATAGTAGTAGAATTTAAAATAGAAAAGTATTCATGATTTTTGGATGTACTATACAAAAGTGTACCTAGCATACTGAGTGGCAGAAAAAGAACAAGTGTAAAGCTTTAAGCGTTGCATACATCTTATCTATTACGAAAGTGATACAATAAACAAAATCCAAGACATATGAAATCGGAGTTAAATAAGATAAGATAAGGTAAAAAGAAAGATAAAAAAGAGAAGTTATAAAGGATAAGATTTTTTTAAAGAAGAAAATTATACAGATCAAGAGAAAATACAAAGATCGGGGGGCCAAGGCTAACCCCCAAAAATACAGTCGATTAACGGACAAAAGGAAAACCTAAAAGGTCAGCAGCTAGGGCATTGCTAACACTGATAGGTAAATGGGAAGGGTTAGGACAAATAAAATTGTCCGATCTAGACAATGTATGATGAGCTAGATAGTGTGCCAGTTGATTTGCTTCTCTGAAGCAATGGCAAAAAACGATGTTTTTTTCTTCATCTAGACTTCTCATCTCCCTCCATTCTTGAAACCAAAAACCAGTGTAAATAGTCAATTGGAGTATAGTGATAGCAGCCATGGAATCTGATTCCAAGATGAAATCAGAAAATCCCTCATAAAATGATAAAAAAGATGAAGTGAGATCAATCCTCCACCCGAGTATTATCTCTTCACTTCAGTCTCTCCAAAGTCATACTTTCACCCAACTCAAGAAATAGCATATCACTCCTTATTCATCTAATCAACAACTGTTTAAGCCTTTATCTCCCTCTCCTCCCCGCCTCTTCTCCCCACCTCTATACTCATCTATGAGGTGCATCACTCGGTCTTCTATGCACACGGCTAAACCACAACAATTGAGAGGCTCACATCTAATCCTCAATATGTGCTACTCTCACCTTTCATGTGATTGTCTCATTCTTCAACCCGTCTTTTCCAGTATTTCCACACATTCAACGCGACATGCACATCTCAGTCACATATCTTGTGAATGTGACATTGTTTCACCGCCCAAGCCTAATTGGTGTCCGATAAAATCTGCCCCACAGTGTAATCGACATGTCACATAGAAATCTTGACACACTCGTCCATTTCTTCCACCATTTTATGATTCTATTGGGATACATCTTTATTTAGTTCATCAATTTTCTGAATTATGGAGCTCAAATAACGGAATATATCACCGATCGACATTTCTTTATCATCTAAGGTACACCATTCCTTCTTTCTCCTCTGACCTTGTCTCATCAATCAACACAATATCGTCATCAGAAATAATGATTCATGCACATGATATAGCTTCTTGATTTGACTTTGTGAGTTCATACATGACTAAAATAAATAAGAAAGGACTTAGAGTTGATCCTTGATCCTTTGGTGTTCTATGATAGTAATAGGAACTCTACAGTCCTCCATACACTAGTACGGCCACTTCTAGTACAATCCTTATACATATCCATAGATCCATAATAATGTTGATGTATTCATGCGATATGCCTTTTCTAGTTAAGGTCCATCAAAGGATTTCTCGAGGTAACATATTATATGCCTTTTCTAAGTCAATGATCACCAAATGCAGATTCTTGTTACGGTCTCTATACTTCTCCACAAGTTGCCTACGAAGGTGAATGGACCCATTTGTTGAGCGATCAAACATAAACCTGAGTTGATTCTTCGAAATCTACTCTCTTATTCGAAGTCTTTGTTTAATTACTCGCTCCCAAAGTTTCATAGTGTGACTCATAAACTTAATCCCTTGATAGTTAACACATTCTTGTACATCACCCTTATTCTTAAATGAGGGAATAAGAGTACTCTTCCACCAACTTGTTGACATTTTGTTGTTCTCGAGATCTTATTCAAGAAAAGTGTTAACCACTCGACACCTCTTTCTTCTAAACTTCTTCAGGCCTTGGTATGCCATATGAACTTAGGGTTGGGTCCGAAAAATCGAAAACTGAAAACCAGATCAAAATAAACCGAACCACAACTAAAAAGTTGAAACCGAACTGTAGTTTATTACAATTTTGGTTTTTACCCTTCAAAACCAAACCGAACCGAATAAACCTAACAATTAAAATTAAAATATGAAATTTTAGTTGTTAATTGTTAAGCATCAATCCTAATATTATCGATAGTCTTTGGTTTTTGTGTGCTAGAAAATTAATTTTTGTGTTATGTTTAGTTTAGTTTATAAATGCATTTACACATCCATTACATATAATAATGTAGCTATATTGATCTATTATGTCTTTTTATGTATGTATGTTGTATTTTATTGCATGATGATATGTTTTTACTAGTTATTATTAGTAATTAACTTTTTTTTTATGTAACTTAAAATTTATATTGATAAAACAAATAAATATTCATCTCAACAATACCACATAGAACGTATGTATTCATGAACTTTTTTCGAACTAGTCACAAGCAATGTAATTAAAAAATATATACACTTGTATCTCTCCCTCATACTCATATCATTCAAGACATATTTATTTCTTCTCTTTTTATTTTATTTTTTCTAGTATGCTTTCATTTTTATGTAATATGTTTGATACCTCCAATTAAATATTCAAATGACAATTTTTAATAAAAAACCAAACAATCTAAATCGAACTGAAACAAATTGAATCAATTAAAATGTGGTTTCAAGTTTTGAAATCTACTTTGGTTCCGTATTTGGTTTTTGGAAAACCAAAACGAATAAACCTAACCTACCCCTAATGAATTTAATTTTTTCTTCCGCCCATCTTTCTAGAGCATCTTTAACGTTTGTCATTTGGATCATTCTCTTAAAATCCAGATTTACCATACAATCTATTAAAGTAAGATTATCAATATCTTGCGCTTTATTCATATTGAACAATGTATCAAAGTATGACATCGACCTCTATTATTTCCCCATTCTCTATTAGTATCCTTTGATTGACATCCTTCACACACTTAATTTTTGTGATATCTCGAATCCTATGGTCTCGAAGACGAACAAGTTTATGAATATCTTTTTCTCTTTCCTTATCGTCCAATTTTACATACAACTTCTTCACTTTTCCTCCCCTTCACAGCTTTCTTAACTTTTCTTTTACCCTCTCTATATTCATCTATGTTTCATCACTCCAACTTTCCCTAAATTTTTGTAGCATTCACTTTTGTTCTTTATGTCTTGTTTCACCTCTCATATCATCAAGATGTATCTTTTTTAGTGGCAGACATCCTTTAGTTTCCTCAAGTATCTCTTTTGTCACTTTTTAATGGTCCGCGCCATTGGTAATCACACATCCTCCACATGTACGTCATTATCATCTTACCAAACATTGCATGTAAAGTTTTGTTGGAAATCCTGCTTTATCTCTGACTTCACTAGTTCACTTGGTGTTTAATCCGCCTTATATGCTTTTTACCTTGAAAATGAAGCACAAACGTTCTATGTTGAGTGGTCTCTCACCTAGAATAACCTCACAATATGTGTAGCTAGTTCTCCAAATAGTCCGTATTAAAGAATAAAGAGTAGTCAATTTGGATACTATTAGCTCCACTTTCATAGATCACAAGGTGAGAGTCTCTTTCCTTGAACCAAGTGTTCCTTATAATCAAGTCATACATCGAGGCAAAATGCAAAAAATTCTTTCCCACTTGACTTCTAGTATCTAAACTATGTTTGCCCTGAATACCCTCAAAATCATCACAACTCGGGCTAACATGCCCATGAGGTCGCCTCTTATGACCACCAACACTTCTTCCCTTGGCTCTTGTTGCACCACTTCCGAAAGATCTTTCTAGAGTTGTTGAGTGATAGATGCATCCAACCCCATTTGTGGTGCGCACACACTTATGATGGACATGATCATATCCACTATCATAAATTTAATGTCACACGATATAATAATGTCTACTCCATTTCTTTCTTCTCTATCCCCAAATACCACAACTTAATACCTTCGGGATTAATTTCTCGTTCCTTCTCTCCAACCTAATATAAACCCCAAACCCTAAACCCAAAACCCTAAATGTTAATATTTTTCCTCATCATAACCTCAACTACTTCTTTTAAGAGGCCGAACATTCAATGTCCCAAATTGCAATCTATAACTCCACCTCCTATTCTTATCACCATTTCAGTTCCCACCATGCCCTCACATAGTTGACACTATCTTGAGCATTGTGGTAGCGCGTCGCTTTGAAGGGACAATCTAGCAATCTTAACATTCTTATCCCCACAACTACGCCTATGAAGTGCAGCGTGTTCCTGTATATTTGACAACACCCAGCCAACACACCAGACGGAGGGATGACATGTCGCCATTGGGCGACAACCTAGATGTAGCGATATTTAATGTGGAAAATTCTCACATGGATATAATCCATGTGGACCTCAAGCATTGAGTTATTGTACTTCATGTGTTGAATGTTGCACCTTTGGGAAGGTACACACATTATAAGCTTACTGCAAGCTATGTTTTGCTAAACGAGTATACGAGATGACTGGCTGTGAATATGATAATATCTAAAGTCAGCTTATAGCTCCTGAACTATTAGAAGTAAATGGCTTATAACTCACTTATAGCTGAAGAGCTAGCTTCGATTTAATATTAGACTTTGGCAAAAGTTGCTGATGGGCTAGTTTTGAAACAAAATGAGTAAATGACACAAAATGATCTGTTTAAAACCCTAGAGGTATTTAACTGAGAAAGCAGACAATGCATGAGCATGAAAATATTTAAGCATTTTAAGGAAGCTACTGAGGGTCAGTTTGGATGGATAGTTCTGGACGAAATGGTTTTGGAGGGCTAAGCAAAGAAGTATATCTAGATATATATTTCAGATTTCATAAAATTGGAGGAATAAGAATAACATAATATGTGACCATATCACATTTTAATCACCTTTTATCACATTTAGAAACACTATTTATCAAGGTGCATATTGAATCTCCAACTTCTCCTCCAAAACCTCCATCTAAACCAGCCCTAAAAGAAGCTTGTGAAATAAGTTCTTCAACCAAACATAGCTCTTTATAGCCATGTCATGGTCAGATACCTTAGTTCTGGTTAATAACATATCAATTGCAATTTATTAGTGAATTCTTCTGACTACAGTTTTTATTTTATCTCATCATCAGAAAAGAAACCGTGAAGCTTTTTGAAGAGATTCAGGATAATCTATATCAGGCCAACCATACATGGATAAGTTCTATACGTAGGAGTCTGAGGAGAAACTTGGTTGATGGCTTTCTAGGGGAATCGAAGAGAACCAAACTCCTTTCCCTTATTGCCTTTCCCATTCCTGAATGTTTTTGCACTAGCCGTGCTTCCTCTGAACTATCTGCGTCTCTTGGAGTTCTTCAACGATGCCCTTCATGGATGAATGGACAAAAAATCATGTATCAAACCAAGGATGAAAATGATGAAGATGTTAATGATGATGAGGATTCTTTGTTCTTTAGACAAATTGTCGATAATAATCATGAAGTTGACAGTGGAGAGATAAGCAACAAAGAAGAAACTTTGGTGGAAGATCAAGAAGATCTTGACGGGGTAGAAAGATAAGCTCTCGTGAACAATTTTACGTTTTTGGAAGATGACCATTGAAAGAGTGACCATTGAAAGAGACACTATATTAGAGTTAAGACCCGATTTAGTCCTACTATACACTATAACCTAATTTCCTATCGAGTACGAAATCTCGACCCAATTTAGTCCTTATACATATCTGGTTCTTAATATGGACCTTAACTATGTACTATGTGACCCAGTTCAGCATCTGTTTACGGAAGTACCCTTCTCAGTTATGGTGTAATATAGTATGAGGACTAAATTGAGTAAAATGTATAGTCATGGGGCTATTTGAATAGTTTATAGTTCCGGGACCAAATCGGGTATTAACTCCTTGCATAATCACTGACATTGTGGATTCAAAGATGATATGGAGAAAGGTAAATGCAGAGAAGATATGGTGTCATGACTGCATGTTGAATCGATGAAGATCTAATGATGCTGAGGATGGTGAAAAAGAAAAATGAATATACAGTAGTACAGAGGGAAGCTAAGTGGCTAATGGAAATTTTTCAGGAGGAAAGATACTGGATAGACTAATGGCATTGACAGCAAAGTTTTGTAGATAAACTATTGAATTGTAGTTATCCTTAGGAATGATGATTTGATTTCCCATTCTAAAAAGCAGAATCTCTGATTTCAGGCCCATCTATTTTCCTCTAAATCCTCTTACTGTTTGTAAAAAATGGATAACATAATTATGCAGGTGTGGTCTGTACTCTGTAGCATTGGATGCAGCTTGAGTTGGACCTGGTCCATGGTCCTGGAGCGGTCGGGACCCAACCGGAACTGTTTTTTCTGGTTTGATCTTGGCATTGGCGCCAGTCCCGGTTAGGGATTTTGGGAACTGGAACTGGCTGGTCCTTGTCCGTTTTATTTTTAATTTTTTAAGCTTAAAAGTATTTTAAATGAGGTAATCCATTTAGAAGCTAAAAAGGGGTTGGGAGTTAGGTTGGCCTTTTTTTTTTAAATCGTCAAAACATTTTCATGAACCCTAGGAATAGATTTAGAGTCAGCCACTCATACAAAGTAACCTGATTCACTAGATACACAACATGCAAGAATAAGTCTAAAACGATCGAATTGAATAGGAAACATTGCCTATCAAAAGTTCTTCAAAAGTCAAAACACTCTAACCAACTTGTTCGAATTGAAATAAAAACAAGAACTGTTAAAAGAAAAATAATACGAAAATAAGAACTTTCTCCAAATTGCTTTCTTGCGTGGAGGTGGTTTCGGGGGAGGATGAACTGCTACAATTATGCATGGACCGGGCTCGGTTTGGGCCCGGGTCGGGCCTAGGCTCGTCCGGGCCTTAAACTTGTAGAGGAAGGCTCGAGACCGGCCCGTGTCTTGACCGGTCCCGGTTGGGGGCCGGTCCACCCGCCCAGACCACGGTTCGGGCCACCCGCCGGGCCGGTTCAGTTATAATTTTTTTTCCTACTAATTTATACAAATGCTTATTAAAAAACAAAGTTCAAGTGCTATTTGTAAAGCTGTTTTTACTTTAAAAACAGCCTTTAGAAAATTAATTGTAAGTTCTAACCAATTAATTCATTTGAGAAGTGTTACATATAAAAAAATGAACGTATAATCGTATATTTATTTGAAATGTGAACTATAAGTTTACAAATTACAATTGCAAAATGAGTAAAAAATTCAAACATGAAATACAATTTATAATAAATTGTAAAATACTAATCAATCGGAATCTCCGTCATAGGTAGAGCCACCCTCGTTTGATTCATCCATAAAATTTTGGGAGGGAGTGATGCTAATTTCTTGAGTTCTACGTGCGGTCTTCAACCAATCGTGGTAGCATATAAGCGTGTCAAGAGAGTTTGCGCTCAATCTCGTTCTAGATGCCGTTGGGACGTTGCCGGCCGAACTAAATTCATGTTCGACGGCAACTGTTGAAACCGGCATTGATAGCACTTGCTTAGCCATTTTTGCTAAAATCGGGAACATTCTTTCTTTTTCCTTCCACCAATTTAGAACGTCAAAGTCATCATCTTCTTCAAAATCAACGTCATAAGTTAAATACAAATTAATCTCATTAACTGAGCCTTGTTCAGTAGCGGGAGTTGTTTTAGTTTTTTTTCATAAGATTGCCAAATGTAGATTTAAAAATTGATTTTCCTTTAGATGAAGATGCTCGTGTCGGGGGAGGGGGCGCGTTGCACATTGTTCATGAAACTCATTAAATAAGGCATAAAATAAAGTACTAACCTCGTTGGATTCTATTTTCGGATCTATCGCCTTACCGTCATACATTGCAAATACACCAAAAAATGCATGATAATTGAACTTCAAACATTCTTCCAAAGAACCAAGTCTAAAACGAGGATCGAGAATAAATGCAATACCATAAATATGCGAAATATGTGCATAATATTTTAAAAACTTTTCCTTCATATAATCACAAAAATAACTCACGTAAACGACTTCCGAAAATTCATTAAAAGCACCGGCGAGATTAACAGCTTCACGAATAAATTGGTTTGCGGTAGGTTTATAAACATGACTAAAAGTTTCAGTTGCATTAAAAAAAATATCAAAACATTACAATTTTTTTTGCAAGTGTCGATCTCAGTCGAGTTTATAATATAGTTATCATGTTGTTTTAAAAAAGCAGGAAAATGGTCTTTATATCTAAGAACAACTTTAATTAATTTATAAGTACTATTCCAAGAATAGTCAAATCTTTAGGAAACGCGACATATCTCAAACCTCTTTCAGTCAAATAATTTTTCCATTTTAATCTAAGTTGACCACTAGCCCAAATACGTCTAATCCCCCCTAGACTACCTCCACAGCATCCTCCTAACACTTTTAGACCATCTTGCACACATAAATTTATAACATGACATGCACATCGTGATGAAAAATCTACCCATCAAAGCATTGGCCCCACACAATTCACGCAATCTAGGTATAGCAGCAGTATTATTAGTAGCATTATCGAAACTAATAGCAAACACTTTATCAATCAGATTATACTCAATAAAAATACGCTCAATCAAAATATAAATATGTTCAACGGTGTGACGATCATTAAATTCACGAAAAGCAAGAACACATTTATGCATATTCCAATCATCACCAATATAATGTGCAGTCAGACCCAAATAATGTAAATTATGAAAAATATCCTCCCATATGTCAGAACAAATAGTAACACGCCCAACAAAGTTTGCAAACAAATTTTGTAACCTTGCCTTTTCCAAATCATAAAGCCTTATAATTTCTTTCTTAAACGTCTTGCGACTATAACCTCTATATTGAGGATTTAAACAACCTTGTGCATAGTCTTTAAAAGCAAGACTTTCAGAAAATAAAAAAGCAAATTTTCTTCAACAAGTAAGTTAGCCATACCAGTCAAATTTTGTGCATCATTGTATGAGAAATTACCAAAAGGTTGGTTATTTGCAAACCTCGATATTTGAGTTTGATTCCCCTTTCCTTTGTCTAATTTTGCATACTCCACGATGTGTTTGCCCATAAGAGCATCTCCAATGCTAAAACGTTAACGGTGCATACGTGGCATGAAAAATAACCAATTAAAAAACAATAAATACAATATCTCTCTCCTTATTTGAAGGATCTTACATCATTTTGGTAAGTTTTTCTTCACAATGTCAAGCACAATGTCTAGATGTAGACATTGTGATTGACATTGCAGACAAAAACTTACCATAAACACATAAGACCGTGGAAAGAAGGAGAGAGATATTGTATTTATTGTTTTTTAATTGGTTAGTTCTCATGCCACGTATGCACCGTTAACGTTTTAGCATCGGAGATGCTCTAAGATTCCTTTTCAATGATCTGTATCCGCCGGAAATTCCCAAGCTATATTGTTTGTCGCACCACTTGCAACTTGCGTACCATTCCTCGGTCTCCGCGTCCTTCCACTTATCAAAATTATTTTTCAAAAGTAAAGATTGACTTTGTTTCTTACCGGGTTGGGATGAGGCGGGCTCGTCGTCGTCGTGGGTGCCGTCACCCTCGTCCTCGGCCGTCTCCGGTTGAAGTTCGTCCGCATCGTCATCCTCCAGCTCTTCTTCGTCAATGGTCGTCGGGATTTGTTCTTGTTGTAAAAAGCAGTTATTATGTTGCTCAAATTCATGTTGTAGTTGCTCGTCGGACATCGCATCCCCATCTCTCCGTTGGTAATCCGTTTCAAAATCATCTCGGCTTTGAGAAGAAGACCCGATATGTCGTTTACCTTTGGGTGTATTAGGATTATTCCTTTGGATCTCGTTCTTTCGGTTGCGTTGGAGGTTGCCCATATCAACCGAACTTCTACCACGATTCATCTTAAAAAATGTAACAAATATTAAATTGGAACAAATATATTAAAATGAGTAAAAAAGTAATGCAACTTATTAAAACTATTTTAATTAATACTTCAATCTAACAAGTTTACTTTAATGAAATAAAATTCAAACTAAATTATTTATATAAAATAATTCGAACTACATTATTAATAAATTTCCAAGTACTTTAATTTAGTGAAAACTACTTTAATAAAATGTGAAGTACTCTAATAAAAGTAATTTAACTACTCTTTTTCCTTCAAAAAAAATTCAAACTATTATAGTGTGACTAATAATAAAACTATAATATTTTATTAAATATTATTTATGAGTACAATAGTAATAAAATGTGACTAATAAAATTATAGCAAATTCAAACTAAAATATGAGTATATAAAATGTCACGCCCCAGACCGCAATCCAAGCGCGTGTACAACCGCCGTGAAATCAAGTGATGTCACCCGCGAGTCAACCTCACTTGATTACACAAGGCGTTCGAGAAAAATAATCCATCCATACTCAGTAGTAAACATACATAACAACATCACATTTAAACCAATGAATAGCGGAAATATTCAACGGTAAGTCATAAGCCACAACCGGCCAATAACATGGGCATGCAAGCCCCAAAAGAATAGTTTATAACAAATAAAAATATCCATGAGCAATGTTTGGTAATTTGAAATAAAATGAGGAAGCACGAACCACGTCTTCCTTGATTTGATGTCACCCGTAGGAAGGTGCAGGTAGCAAGCCCTAGATTCAACCTGAGAATGGTGGGGCCCCCCGAAGGGGTCAGTACAAGTACCGAGCGAGTAGCAGGCTAAATATAGAATAACTAGCGTTTCAAGTATAAGACCCAAACATAGGATGATACATATACGTATAGTCCTTCCCCCAAGTTTGAAATACATATTAGTATACATACACTTGGAAATACCCGACCCGTAGGTCATTGTTTATTTGGGAAAATAATAGTAGCCAATATCCTTGACTTAAATCCCAACCCACCCATATACCTATGAGTGTATAGAACTCCTCCTTGTTCAAATAAATTATCATAAGGACACCGTCCGGTCCTAGATCATTAAATGTAGCCTATGAGTTTTGAGGATACACGCCCGATCCTTGGGTACTCCACCCTATAACCGAGTTTTGAGGATAACCGCCCGATCCTTGGGTACTCCACCCTATATAACCGAGTTTTGAGGATAACCGCCCGATCCTTGGGTACTCCACCCTATATAACCGAGTTTTGAGGATAACCGCCCGATCCTTGGGTACTCCACCCTATATAACCGAGTTTTGAGGATAACCGCCCGATCCTTGGGTACTCCACCCTATATAACCGAGTTTTGAGGATAACCGCCCGATC